AGATTGGCGGTCTGACGCATGATTGCAGGCGCCAGCCGGCCGGGCACGGCGCAAGAAACACCTTAATGTTTAATATAGGTTCGTACGTGTTTAATATAGGTTCGTACGTGTTTAATATAGGTTCGTACGTGTTTAATATAAGTTCGTACGTGTTTAATATAGGTTCGTACATGTTTAATATAGGTTCGTACGTGTTTAATATAGGTTCGTACGTGTTTAATATAGGTTCGTACGTGTTTAATACAGGTTCGTACGTGTTTAATATAGGTTCGTACGTGTTTAATATAGGTTCGTACATGTTTAATATAGGTTCGTACGTGTTTAATATAGGTTCGTACGTGTTTAATATAGGTTCGTACGTGTTTAATATAGGTTCGTACATGTTTAATATAGGTTCGTACGTGTTTAATATAGGTTCGTACAGACGTAAATGATGTTGTACTTACCATCCGCGTCACCTCTTCTTCCAGCGCCATCTTCTCTAGAGTTGCCACGAAACAATCTCCTAACACGCTGAGACTCTTTTGCCCTTTTGGTAAAGGTCTCGGAATCCCGTTCTAAAGTAGGTAAGCTGTGTAAGTGAGATTCCGCGAGTGACAGACGCCATTTTTATTTACATTTATATAATATGAAAATAATATAATACGTGTAATAAATCATAATAATACGGTAATAATACAATAGATTTTGCTGCTACCAATCATAATTTCTACCCAAAATTATGTATTAACAATTTTTAAACACGTAAGACGTCATATACAGTACGTACCAAAAATCTAACGGTTTCGAGGGTGAGAAGAGGTAGGACGTGCTTGTCATAAATGGCAACTCACTTTTCAAGATCCGGGATAACCTGTCCACCCCCCATGCACAAAACCTGCAAGAGTATTTTATTACGTAACATTAATATCTGATCGCGGTCTCAGTTGCGGTTACAGCCATAGTTGCGGTAGTAAAGATGATGAGGACGGAGATGAAAACAACGACGATGACGATGATAAATTCTTGCGTTATTTCAGGTCACGTTCTATAATGAATCTAGTATTTCTTTAGCCTAATAAAGTAATAACCAACGACTATACTGACCTTTCGCTCCGAGCCGCAAGCTGCTAGCATCCACGGCTTCCACGTGTTTCCAGAAAACCACGAGACCTGTATGTCTGGAGACAGCGTGCTGAAATTCATACAGATACATTCGAGTTAATCACACAATCCTATAACATTCCAAGTCACAGATGTACATTTTATATGCACGCCTTTGGCTAGAAAATTATTTCTCGATAACAACCACTAGTGCAATACGCACGACGCCATAAAAATTCAATGCAGACGCGTCATATCTTCCGTTTTTTTACGAGACAAACTGTACGCTGGAATTCTCGAAAGTTTCGTTTTAATGCATAGAAACGAACCCGGGCAACGCCGGATATACCACACCAATTCTAAATATCAATGTCATAGTATTAAAAAACACGAACATGCTCGTAAGAAACGGTAAATATATCAGTGTCATACAACTAAAACATGCTTGCGAAAAAACGACAGAAACCGACTTACTCTCCTCCTGGAGGAACGTAGGCAAACGAACTGCTGACCTCGGAGCAGTAGGTCTGTGGCAGCTTGTGCCATCTCTTAAAGGGACAATTGAGGATTTGGTCGGCACAACCTGAACACGACGCAACACGTCTTAACACCCAAAAATCTCAAATCCTAACAAAAACAACTCTATCTAGATACACGCGGTGTTAGTAGTGTGTGCGTGTGCAGTGCAGTGAGCGCGTTCAGCATGTAAAAATAGATAGCACAACGTTACTCTTTCATCTAGCTAAAGATTCACTAGCTAGTGACGGTTCTTTAGCTAATGACGGTAGGCTATAGCAAACATCGAGCATATTGGTTCTCGTTATCACATCATGTAGCCAAAGTGTCAAGTAACTTATTGCCGGTAGACGAGACACTATAAAATTTGCCGCATTTTGAACCTTCGTTCTGATTCCACTATCGCTCTTTCCACGTAGAATTAGGCACTTACTGCTAAAGTCGAACGAATCCTGGCAATTTCAGGCAAATTTCTGTAACTTTCTGAAAGTGTTATGAGCGGCCGTCGGTTCTACGACCATGACGCTGCTGTGGAACGTCTTGGGCCGGCGATGGTAGGCCACAGCCGAGAGCTGAGGTGCGCCGAACAGATGGTCGATGTTGTGATGAACCTGCGAGAGAGAATGAAATGCCATATCTTCATCCAGGTAATCTACATATTATTATGTGACACATGCAACAGTGTATATTGTGTGCATGGAGAGAATACGGTATTTGGAATGACATCCAGGATCACATCTCGTATATGGGAGAGGAAAACGTGCGCGCCAAGCCTTAAAAACGTGCGTTGGGAGCGAGAGGAAAGACAGAGGTTGAAGGAGAGGGACGTACCAGCGTGTCAGGCGCAAGGAACACACATTTGGAGTATTGGCGGCAATACTGCCAAGTGGCAAGTGCTGCTAGGGACTCGTCCATGACGGACATCCGCATGGCGTCGATCCGCTCCAGGCCGCTAATTGGTATCATGTCGTGGTACAGCTCCGACAGCAGGTCTCTGCGCATGCGCACACACCCACATTTAATGTCACCACACACGCGTGTTCCGCTACTAGATCATGTCACGGTTATAGAAGACGCACCGAAAGTTATGATGACTGAACGTTTTATTTTACCCGTAATAAACGCGTGCCGATTAGGGAGAACGAGGGACCGCATGTTACTGGTCATTTTCTCACCTGAATTCCATAGAGACTTTGTTGGTAACCATGCAGACGAGTCTGCGGGTGACCTGAGCATGACGCATTGAATGTCCGAGTACGAGCGCACCGATCGCCTCTCCGTCTGTCTCTGCCGCAGTCACGTAGGCTTCGTCTTCAAACGCGGCTGCACATATTACAGGTTTAGTTAACGTAAAGCATTATAAAAAGAATCTCAATCTTGATTGCCCCCTAGTTGCATTTGCCGCTTACTTTATTGATTACGTAGCATATCATACCTGGCTCGGGTCTGCGCGGAATTCGTCGTGTGCAATTCTTATAATTACTTATGCGTAAATTTCCGCACTTTTTTGCCTCCTGGCTAGTGGGTGGGACTGTATCGCTAATCAAAAATTATTGATTAACATTAGAAATCCATCGTGCCTTCATACCAAACCTTCATGCCAATAAAATTATGTTTACAGGGGGACACACTGTCAATAAATGGGCAAGAGATGGAGAGAACGAGCGCGAAAGAAACAGAGAGAGGAGAGAGAGAGAGGTGGGGCGAGAGAGACTAGGAATGTCATCGTGTATATGGGGCCAAAAAAACACGAGTCAATGGAACGTGAAATCATATTATTGATACTCTAACGGCGTTTACCTTCACCAGACGCTTTATGTCCGTAACGGTGGTAACCTCCGTCTGAGTCTCTCCCTCCTTTACGGTGGTGACCTCCGTCGGAGCCTCTCTTTCTGTAACGGTGGTGACCTCCGTTACAAGACACAACAACTCTACAGCTGTTCAAGACGTACAAGACGTTCCTCGCGCATGCGTAATATCTCCAAAGAGGAATAATATGTTGCAAACATTATGCATTTAAAATGAAGAGGAGTTATCCTAAAATAGATTTATATGATACGATTCCATCAGTAGACCTCACTTACGAAATAGGAAGAAGACCTTGTATGTAAGGTGCCCGCTGCATATACCAGGCAGTAGGCCTACATAATCTGACTACGTTAGTTTGTTAGCGCATGTGCAATCTCTCACCAGAGGCAGTATATTTTGTGACAAATAAACATTTAATATGGTTAGGGGGTATCTCTGCATAGATTTACGCAATAAATTGTTATCAGTAAACTTGCGTTTATAATTAGGAGAGCGCCCTAGGCTGTAGGGTGCAAAACTCCTACTTCATCCACTCCCATCCTTTTTTTTGCCTTCCTTGCCTCTCACCCAGCCTCCGTCTGCTTCTACCGGCAATCAGCTATCTTCCCTGTCGCCTTTCCTCCTGCTCCCAACCCTCGCTCTCAGCAAGCTGTATTATGCAGTTTTTTCCAGTCTGTACTGTACGCCCAAGATGTTCCTCGCGCATGCGTAATATCTCAAGAGAGGAATAATATTTTATCAAAAAATCTGCATTTAAGATGAGGAGGAGGTATTCTAGCATAGATTTATATGATCTCTTATTAGCAGACCTCTTTGACGAAATAGGACGAAGACCTTGCATGTAAGGTGACCGCAGCGTATAACAGTCAGTACACAATCTGGCTACCGTGGTTTATTAGCGTATGCGCAATCTTTCACCAGAGTAGGTATATTTTGTGATGAATATGCATTTATTATGGTTAGGGGGTATCTCAGCATAGATTCATGTAATAAATTGTTATCAGTACATCTGAGTTCATAATTAGAATAACGCCTAATCCGACGTTTCTTTTAATATATATATATATTGATTTTTCTCTTTGCTATTTGTTTTTTATTCGAAATCCTCACCGCCGTATGACACTTGTAAGATTCGCCGCCTTATAATAAATAAGTTCAGCCATTGGGACGGTCATTTTCCATATCAAACTACTCCAGAGTATAAGTTTAATAAAAACCGTATGTGTATATATTTAGGTTGACACGGTAAACCATGATGGTTATCTTTCAATGAATTTCGAATAAATATGGGGCGATGGGATGACGTATTTGATAATGTTTAATTACGCCGAAGGATAAAATAGACTATAGACTAACATTGAATTATCTGGGGCCAGAATTATTACATTATTACATTATTACAGTTATTACATTATTGCAAGTATTGTGTTAGTGTGCATGTGTATCTCATATCATGCGTTCATTAACATGATTTTTACATCTATTGCCGTTGTTTTGTGTGTTTTATATACGTTGGAATGAGCGTAAAACCGGCCCAAATATAAACGGCCTAAAGACACCACGCTAATAAACTGTGTAGTTACTAGCAGCTATTAATATTAGGTGCATTATGTGGGGTTTTTATCCGTGTATACCTGCATGAACTTCAAGTAAACATGGATTTATGTGATTGAATATATGCGAATGTTTTCGCGTACAGAAAAATAGAATATAACATCGACTAACGTTGAATTATCTAGGGCCGGAATTATTGCATGTCATTATTGTACTAGCGTGCGCGCGTACGCGTATCTATATTATGCGTCTATAAACATTATGACTGCATCTATTGACGTTGCTTTGTGTATTTAATCTCCGTTCGAACGAGTCAAAAACGTTTAAAACCGGCCCATTAACAGGCACGAGGGCGCGTCATTGTTCCTCTATGCTCCACCGCCGCTCAAGCGTGCGAGCGCTACAGTCAAAGAAGTGACGTCATTACCCTAGCAACGATTATTACTGCTTGCCAGTGTGAACAAAAAAGAAGTGAAATTGCGAAACTCTGAGAAAAATGTTTAGAGAGTTATCTTTATCCGCCAAACTCGTGGCCTGTGGCGGTGTAGTAGGTATCGCAACGGCCGGATTTTGCGCAGGTTACATGCGTGCGCTTCGCAGACATCCGTCAACGGGCGTACAACCGCAAGCATCAGGTGTGAACTTATACGAAGGTATTAATTAAACAAAGTTTATTAATATTTGAAGATTAAATATGTTTTTTTTTTAAATTATAAACCGTCAACAGCTTATATGCTTTATTATCTACTCCTGATATATATATATATATAAATATACATTTGTTATTTAATTATTTATATAATTACATAAACCCATAAACATATAAAACACTATTAGTTTAATGTGCTATAACTATTTACTATATTATAATTTATTATTTGCTCAGCATATTGGTATTGTCAATAAATTACTGAAAGTTTAATATATAATTGCGATTTTTGATAATGAATTCAATCCTGTAATCTGAATAACACATAACACAATAGAAGCAGTACTCTTTCGAAACCTTATCTCCCACCTATATATCTCTCGCTTATCTCAAATACTTACTTTAGAATTTCGATATTAAATCCCTGTGGTTGCTTACACTCTTTCTTGTTTGACGTGCATTAGAGTTTATTGGGTATGGCCTTGGTCGCAATGCAAGAAGAATTGCGTGCGTGCGTGCATTTGTGTGTGCGTGCAGCAAGGTGTTATGTGTGTAAGGAACAACAGCTACACCAGTAGTAATTAAGTTACAGGAATCTTTCTACAGGTCATGCAAATAGAAATCGTAACAACGGCATGTTGGCGCGTGTGCAGACGGGGGAAGGCATCAATGCCATTGCCGGTCTGTTTAACGGTGCAGCACAGGTGACGCTGCGTATTGCTACCGTCTGCACGCGCAGCATGCTGCAAGACATGGCCAGCATCAGTGTAGGCAGGGCTAGCGTAACCAGCACAGCCGTGCAGACGGAGGTAACCACCGTTACGGACATAAATGGTCCGGTGAAGGTAAACGCCATTAGAGAGTCCATAACATTTCATTATATCTCTATCTATCTTTCTCGCTCTCATGTTACTGTGAAAATATGTCAGTCTTGTACAGATATCCGTATTTACCTTCATATATGTAGACACCGTAGATTGCTGATCACTTAATTTTGATTAATTTTAATCACTAATTTTAGATCAACGATACCGTCCCACCCACTAACGAGGAGGCTGGAAAGTGTGAAAATATACGCAGAAGAAAGCAGAAGAAGGCTACACGACGAATTCCGTGCAGACCCGATCCAGGTATGATATGATATGTAATCTATACAGTGAGTGTCAGATGCCGCTAGGGGGCAATGCAGATCGAGATTCCTCTTATAATGTTTTACGTTAAG